CCAAATCAATAGCTAAACGAGTCGTCTAGAAGCAGGAGGATTGTCTGTGTTTGGAGGAATGAAACCTTTAAACTACATATTTTTTATGTCCAGTGCACCAAAAGCAATAGTTTGAAACCTTTCATACAGTGTTTTATTTCAAAAATATGGTCATTGAAATGTCCTCCTGTGATGTTAGTGTGCAGCTTTGAAATAGATACTACACAGAAACTGAACACATTTTGAGAGCTCATTTCATCAAGGGAAAAAACACAGTAACTCAAAGCAGTCTCCATTTCTGTCCTCTCTACACTTCTTCTTCCTCCCTCTGTAGTGTGTAGCAGTGAATTCACCCAGACACACACACACACACACACACGCACGCACACACACACACACACACACACACACACACACACAAATGCAAACACAAAACCCATGCTGATTAGAGGAGTTTCTCTTTTTCATGTTTAGCCTGAGAGGATATATTCAGCAAATGTTATTCAATACATGTCAAAATAAACTGAAAGCCATTTTAAATTCAACATCGTATTATACCATAAACCTTTTTTAAAACGTTTTTTAAACTCTGCTTTAAATAAAAGTGATAAGATTCTCGTTGCATACTGTGACACTCATGTTGGTGAAATGGCTTTGTAAACAAGTCATGCAAGGAGGGACTTGTTTTGCCTGTTGGTAATTGTTGGAATTTGTAGTGGTGTACTATTTGCTGATCTCATGTCAGTAACAGTTTGAACAGAATTGTCCATTTTAACCCTTGTGCCAATGCTACTTTTTAAGCTCTGCTCTAAATTTCACAATGCTAAGATTGAATTACTTTACAAAAGATGGTTGGTGTGCAATATGGTGCTGTAATATTTAAACTGGTTATTTAACAACACACAACCACTCATAAAGTAAACACTGCTTGAATTATTTAATATTCACGAGCTCTGTTCAGTCAAAGAAGCTCCCACATGTGGCATCAGGTAACACAAAAAAGCAAAGTGGATTTACATGGTGACATTTGCACAGATGGATAATCAAATTAAAACCGGTCACGTATCTGTTGCAAGTTCAATCAGTGTTGTTGACCTCATAAATATGCAAATTATAATGGTAACCAGGGTCTCTAAATGTGTCATGTGAAATCTTAAACGCCCAGGATTCTGATCTGTGAAAAGTTATAAGAGTGTAAGACACAATTGGATCAGTTCATCAGCAGACTCTGTCCAGTGGCAGCAGAAGCTTTGTCAAGTTTTGCTGTATCAGTTGAACTATTTTGTATTGAACAAATCACAACTTACAGTTTAGGGTTGGACAATTAATCAAAGGCAACTTTCATGCACATATTGTCAGTAAAGCCAGTTCAAAACCTGCATTCAGATGAAGCAGCATTTACTGCAGAGTCATAGGCCTAATCCTAGTTCTATTTTTGTACCGCTTCCCCTTCCCCATGGCCCTTAAAATCAAGCTTGAAAGGAATGAGCTTCAAAATCTACCCCTTAGAAATGGGACACAAGCACCTGCACACATCCTCATATGTCACCATGATCTCTTGGTTCATATGAGATCAGACCATCGCGACTGCTGTAGTTATTTCAGTTGCCTTATTTTATGGTATTTATCTTGTAATTACTGAAGGCATATACTATATTTAGCCACTATGCCCCTCGCTGCTGGAATCAGCTTCCAGAAATTATCAGATGTGCTCCAACATTAGGCACATTCAAATCAAGACTGAAAACACATCTGTTTAGCTGTGCCTTTACTGTATGAGCACTGTGCTGCGTCCGACAAATTGCACTATCATGTTTTTCTCTTCTTCTTCATTCTTTTATATCACATTTTTACCTGTTTTTATGTTTTGTTTTGTTTTTACGCATTTTTATTATTTGTTTTTATTTTTATTTTACTTGTTTCTTTTATTCTTGTTTATGTAAAGCACTTTGAATTGCCACTGTGTATGAAATGTGCTATATAAATAAACTTGCCTTGCCTTGCCTTGCCTTATGTTATCAAAACGATCAAATGTGGCAATAAGATCGTAATACTGTGCATTTAACACAGTGGCCATATTCATCTATGTAAACACACCAAAAACAACATTAACATTATAGCAGACACTGAAAAAAGCCCATTCCCTGCCACTAGACGTTTCTGACAGGGTATTCAAGGGTCATCAAGTGACAGAATGTTGTGGGTCTGCTGTACAGAAGTTACAATTATGAATTATTGCTAAATGAATTATTTATTTTAGACTTTTTTTAAAGCATGGCGGTAAAACGTGTATGCTGTAATAAATATATTAAAACATATGCTTGTTTGTTGTAAAAAATTGTAATAATGAAAAAAATACTAATTTGTGTATTTGTGTTATATATATATATATATATATATATATATATATATATATATATATATATATATATATATATATATATATATATATGCGTGTGTGTGTGTGTGTGTGTGTGTGTGTGTGTGTGTGTGTGTGTGTACACATATATATATATATATATATATATATATATATATTTTTTTTTTTATATACTGCATTAGTTAATATAACAATGTTTTCTAGCTTTAAATATTAGGAAAATAAATTAGGAAGTTTCTCATGCCAACTTTAATGTAATAGAGTTTGCTATGTTTACCTTCGGCACACAGCCCTCAGCGAAGTTTGGATTTTGGTCCACAATAAGAAATAGCTTGAGCACCTCTGGTCTGGGTAGAAAAGGTGATTTAAGGCTCGTTCACACCTGGACGCTTTTTGTTTGCGTTTATCGTCAGTGTTTTTTGAGACATTTTTCCGGATTCAAACCTAAGATATTTTCACTGGTGTCGAGCAGAAGAGTATGCAAGAATAATTTCTTGACATTACACAATGGCTCTACACAACTTTAAGTTTCTGACACCCATTTGTAACACATAAGAAGAAAACAGAAAGTTGTCACGCTTGTTGTTAAAGTTACAGGTGATTCGAACAATCATGGATGGTTCAAGTAGAAGCTCCAACTCTAGCGATGGAGAGATTATTATTGTTCACCAGTGCAATAAGCAGCTCCATGTTCATATCTCCTCTAGGCATCTTCTTCATTGTGCACTCGCATTAAAAGTTTTTCGCTTGAGGATCTCCAAGTGCTGTTTACTGTAACCAAAGAGCTTAGAATAACCAAGAGGCGACACTCAGCAGAACGTTCCATTGCAGCAGCAGCGCCGTGCAACAACCCCAGATTCCGCCATTTTGGAGTGAAAGCAATCGGCCATCCATTGGACCTTTTTGCTGTCGCAATGGCGAGCAGCTGCTTTTTTTTAAAGTTATTTAATTAAAAAGCGCTTTAAAGCTAAGATACAACCTGAAAGATGACAATACAACACTTACTATTACAATCATCAGCACTTTTAATTGTTTCTTTTACAGACTTAAAATATGCTGTTGTTCTATTGGAGTTTTCATTCCAAAATGACTGCCACGTAACACAAGTGGCATCTAGTGGCTGTTTCCCAAATTGCACTAGAGTGTCGCCTCTTGGTGATTCTATGCTCTTTGTTGTAACTTTAGCAGCTCTGTGCATATGAACAAAAGTGCCGATTTGATTGGTGAAGAAGGTTTTGACGCGGTGCGTTACGCTTTAACGTCTGTCATTTTGCGCGTTGGTGTGCACGATCTCATTGGCGCCCTTTATTTAGTCACAAGGCGTTAAATGTCGACGGAAAACGTGAGCAAAAAGTGACCCGGTGTGCACAGGCCTTTATACTTAGAGTCAGTTACCATGATAACTTACTCTGTAAACCTTAACCTATGAGGAGCAGGGGGTTTAGTTTTCTGTCTCTTCAGGTCATCATCTGTCGGATAATAACAGTGAAAAGATTTAAACTTGAATTGATTCTGTTGTATGTATGCTACTTGACAAAAGTCTTGTCGTCAATCCAAGTTGTAAGAGAAACAAATAATAACTTGACTTCTAGTTGATCATTTGGAAAAGTTCCAGAAGGTAGATCTTTCACGTGAATCATCTTTTGAACTGCATCCCAATCATCACAAATACTGCAGAAGATCTATCGCAACTCGCATAGACCCAAGATTCTCAGAGAAATCAGTCAAGTTTGGTAAAGGAAAAATCATGGTTTGGAGTTACATTCAGTATGGGGTCTGTGAGAGATCTGCAGATAGCGGATATCGCTCCTCATACTTCAACCTCCACATCAAATGTCACCAGATATGAACATTATTGAGCATGTCTGGGGTAAGATGAAGGAGGAGGCTTTGAAGATGAATAAAAAAATCTTGATAAACTATGGGAGTCCTGCAAGAATGCTTTCTTTGCCATTCCAGATGACTTTATTAATAAGTTATTTGAGTCATTGCAGAGATGTATGAATGCAGTCCTCCAAGCTTGTGGGAGTCATAAACAATAATAATTTATTTATACTACAGCTACACCATGACTTTATATTCTATACTGTACATTATTTCTGTTAATTGACAAGTCTAAGCAAAAACAGACCTTACTGTCCTGATTAAATTAAAAATCAAAGCATGATTGTATTTTATCTTAGTAAAATAAGCATAATCTAGAAGCATTTGCTTTTCATATAAGCCACTTCTGATACCAAATGATAAACTAGAAGTTAAGTTATTATTTGTTGTTCCTGAAACTTATTCAGGCGATGAGACTTTTGTCAGGTGTTGTTGTGGTAAATCGTAATATCAGTTCTTTATTGATCACAGTTAACATACGCAGAGTTGATTGAACTTACTAAATGCATCTGTTCTGAAACTGAAAACTCAGAGTAAGTTAACTCAAAGTTGGTTGAACCTCCTTATTAAAACAGACCCCAGAACATTTTCAATCGGCAAACAAGTGACATGCGGTAATTGTCTGCTTTTGGCAATGCAGTAAAAAAGTGATATTTAAAGTGTGAACAGCCAAGATTTGTCACATTGTTAAAGTTGAATTTAATTAATGTCGTATGAACTTAATTTGCCTATGTTTCTCTTTTGTGCATCTCTGCAGCCTCCATTGTGATTGGGAAGTGGTGGTGTGAGATGGAGCCATGTCTGGAGGGAGAAGAGTGCAAGACGCTACCAGACAACTCCGGCTGGATGTGTTCCTCTGGGAATAAGATCAAGACCACGAGGGTGAGGGCTCGGAACACTCTGAACATCATTACACACACACATTCACTTAGCTACACAAATAAGGGCACTGCACAGACATTTATTGATTTTGTGGCAAAACTTTACTATATGCATAAGCTGAAATAAACTAACAATAAGTTACAAACAGAGCACAAACCCAAAAAAGTTCAAATGGGGGTGTAGAGTTGTGTGGGTGAATTTACTACCAATGCACAAAATAATAATTTTGTCTTAATATGTGCTATATTCACAAACCTTTCCAAAAAATGCAATCCAATTCACACCAATCAATAGAAAAATTACTTAACAATTCATTGGGCATCCCAGGCCAGTAGGTGGCAATGTTTCTTAAAAACAAAACACTATGCGCCTATACTCATTTGGTCCTGTAGTCTCCACTTGTTGTGCTGGTTGTCAGGTACTTACATATGTCTTTAGATTGAACACATAATACACATTCTCATGACATAATTAAAAATATTTTTGTTAACCCAGAAATGATAAATATAATTTTATTTTTAAAAGTCAGCATTTACATGTCACTTTAATGAATGAATAAAACTTATGAAACCTTTATGCTGTGTTCACACCAGATGTGGACAAAGCGTCAAAATTGAATGATTTACACTTTAAATCGATGTAAAGACACAAATAGACATCCTGGGGTGCGACAGATCATCTACAAGTCATTTGAACACTGGGTTCCCCACAAACATGAGGGGGCGGCGCTCTTTGTGGCAGTGGCTCCTCAGCCAAGTGCACAAACCAAATGTCTGAACATTGTGGTTCCTCACGTACTGAGCGGGATTACTAGCACAACAACAGCCTACGACAGTAGGGTAAAACTAACCTGGCTCACATTCCCTGTTAGTGGGTACACAATCCATGGCTTGGTGAATTCTGCTTCACAATGATAGAAAGAGCCAACATCAAAGGAACAAAAAGCAACATTATGAATGCTTGGCCACCAGAGGCAGCATGAATGACGCGGTTAGCACAAATAAAGTGGCGGAAATCTGAACTTCAGTCTCGCATTAACCAATGAACACATCTGCGCTGCATTAACCAATCATGAGCTCGCTCTTGTAGGTGAGTGATTATGATGTAGTACTTGTTGTTGGTATCCCAAGGGGAAATCCTCTTGCTGACACTGACAACAGCTTGTTACAGAGCTGGGTGCACCTCTGAAAGGGTCTAGTGGACTCAGACACGGTGCCAAACAAATCTACACAGTTTTTCAGCCTTTCTAAAGCACTAAAAGCACAGCTACTGTCTCAATAAAAATCCATGTTGACCATTTAGAGAAGCTAGAGTCATCGGTCAGACAGAAGCCCCGCCCATGACGCGAATCTATTGTGAAGCGAGTTTGACTCGCAAATGAAGCAAATTTGACACACGACTAAAGCAAATTTGACACGCGACTGAAGTAAATTTGACGCGAGTAAACTCAAAATGTTTACGTGTCTATTTATGTGTTAATAGCGCAATTTATTTGTGTGTTCCGCGTCTGGAGTGAACACAGCCTTCTTGCTTTTAGTTGAAAATGGTGTCCTTAAAAATGATGCGAGTGTAAAGTTGATAAACTACAGATTAAAAAATGATGCATCAGCTTACTGTCATAATAACCAATACAAATTATCATCAGCAGCAAAAATTTGTTCACCCTTTGCTTATAATCTGGTGTGAATAAACATAGGTACTGTATCAAATCGATTTAGAAATACTTAGCATACTAGTGTTGAAAAAGTTTTTCACTGCTTGTCGTCAGTAAATCCTGACAACAATTTGTGCTGTGCATGTGTAAGTCATTAGTGAACAAGTCCTTTAATTAAAAAATACAAATAAAATATATTAGTGGATAAAAAGGCAAATAATATACAGTATAGTTAACTAATCCCATATGAAAAAAATACTAGTAATCTCATTCATATAGTCCTAGTTTAACCCTTAAGAAATAAAACAGTAAATAAATTCCGGAAGACCCAAGTCAGACAAAAAATATACCTCTGACCATACAACTTTGACAGGAAGTACACATGGCACAATATTAAAACTTGATGAGAATATCAGTTTTGCCATATGCTGATTTAGTAGAGAGGTGACAGATAGCGGATCTATGAGAGTCAATTGACACCAAACACAAGTAGATAGTATTACAGGGGCTTCAGTCCCTCCTTGGCATCTACACGTGTTAAACTATCCCAAGCCCTGCTTATATGGGAATCCTATGGTGGCCGGATGTTTTTGGAGATTGACAAGGTAAGATCATGCATACAAACTGAACTGAACCTTATTTAATATCATTAAGCAAACTTTAATCAAATAATGTGCGCACTTATGTCAAGCTCTAAATTACACACCTTCATGTCATTCCAAACCCAAATGCTATTTTATAGAGATTGTTAATAGAAATGTTTTGTGCTATTCTGGTTTAAAATAATGTACTGTACAAGGCTAGGAGCTCTGTAAAGCATAAAACACCCTAGAAGAGCATTGTTCTGTAATGCCAGTCCATAATGCATTCCCGGTAGCTTTCTGAGAAACACCAGACATTCATTATTTACAAATTATCCATTATTCAGAACTCAATATTCACTCATAATCTTGCTCCAAAGCTCATACTCAGCCTGTGTTTGCATTTATTTTTGTTTGATTTCAAAATGCATTGGATTGAATTGCTTTTGTAGTGTAAGTGCTTGTGTGGTTGAATGCATTCAAAAAAAGCCACAAAATAGCAACTTTTCTCTGAATACTTAATGAATATGTGATCATTAGGGCAGTTATTAATATGCTTTCATTAATCTCTTTTCCAGTTCACTCATAAGTGGTGTAACATTGGTTAGTTCAGTTCATTTTTTATTTTTACAGAAATTTAGCATTTAAAGGTCCTTTGAAATTAAAATAATGTTTTTTTGATGTTAGTATCAGTATTATTAGTTTTTGGGATAACTATAGGCTAGTGCGCTTCAAAACTGTGACAAAATTTAGATATAGAATAATATATAAACATGTCAAGCTTTTAGTTTGTCACATCCGCCTAAATAGATCAAATTATTCACGTCAAGTCACGTCATGACCAATCAAATGCTCTCTTGTATCTGACTTGCCCCGCCCGTTCAAGACAGTAGAGCAGTTATAAAACAAAACACTATTGGCATTCTTTTTTTAAATGGGAGGGGCTACATTATGTCCCACCCTTTCTTCATGTTTCGGTTGACATTACATCAAACATTGGATAATAATGTACATTTCAAAGCACTTCACGGGATATTTAATGTACTATTTCTAAGATAAAAATAAGAAGGACTCATCTCCAAAACACAACTGTTCAGAAGACATATTTGGACACCATGCAGCTGAAATGGTGATCATGTGGTAATTATTTTAATGCTAAGTGGCCATTTATTTTCAGTAATCCAGCCACAATTGGTCAGTAGACATAATTATGTATCAATTTACTGTTTTGTGACTCTTGAAACCCATGAGTGGTTAACCTACGAACGTAATCGCATCAAATTTGTATTTAACTTCACTGTAAAACCCAACAGTCAACTTTATCAAATGAAGCTAGTGTAGTTTACTCAAAATTGACTGAAAGTTAATTCTACTCATTTGAAAAGAGTGTTGAAGGTAATCAGTTAATTAAATACCTCATTACTTCAACTGAAATGGAGTAAGTTCACAGTACTATACTGTAGATTAGTTTTTTTGTTTTGTTTTTTGTTTTACTCAAATGGTTTGTAGCAATCAGTATTCTCAAATGGTGTGAGTTGCCTTAACTTATTGGGTTTTACAGTACTCAGTTGGTTTGAGTTCTCTTCATTTATCGGATTTTACTGTGCTCAAATTGCTTTATTTTCTCAAATGGATTAAGTTCACAGTACTCATTAGGATTATTTTTTGTACTTAAATGGTTTGTTGCAATTGGTTTCTTTAAAAAGTTTTAGTTACCTTAACTGTTTTGGTTTTACAGTGTATAGTGTCACAGTGTAAAACTAAAAGACACTGTGACTAACAAACACACATCACATTGCACTCACTTTTAAACATGGACCTTTGTGTTATTTGTATTGTGCATGTGTGTGTTTGTGTAATGTGTATATGTTGTTTTTTTCTGTCCAGATTAGCATTGTGTTTATGTAAAAATTTCACTTATGTCAAACAATAGCCCATATGAACACTGAAATAACTAAGGATGGCTGACGTGAAACTGACGTTTCGACACAGTGTCGAGATCCCGAAGCGCAAGTGTTTCGAAACACTGCACCGAAGCATGATCCGAAACACCCAGGTCACGTGACTAAAGTGTTTCGAAACACTTGGTCACGTGACTAAAGCGATTCAAAGCATTGATCATTTCAGAGGCGTTTCAAGACCCAGAGAATCTGCATTTGACTGTCATGATCAAGTTGTCGACTGTGTCTTGTATGGCTTAGTGGACCGTGCGTGTGCACTACAGTACTGTGTTTCAAATTTGTTTTGGGTTCGAATCCCGACTAGTCCAAATACTCCAAAATCATGATTTTATATATTTTAACCATGTTACTGTTTTATGGTGTAGTCTAGATAGGATACAGCTGCGGATATGCCATCAATTTAGCATCATTTTTGAAACACTGTAAAACAATAATTCATATTTTTACAGTACTGTGATGGGTTTAGGTTTTGGATAGACGTTAATAAAATACAATGGGAAATTTAATTAATAATATAAGTAATTATTGTTAACTTCTGGCCACAACTGTATCTGATCTAGCAACAACCCTGTTTTATGAACAAAACAATACAAACTTATTTACAAGGTGTTTATTCGTATGTCAGAGCAATGTTGAAACAAAACGACACAATAACAAAGCATTACCAACTGGTATTAAAGCATTTCAAAATAACTGCTTCAGTCTGGATTCGAACCCTTTATTCCCAAAAGGCGTTCACGAACTCTAACCGCTCAACTAAACCATTTGCAGAATCAAAAAACAAAGTGGGATTTCATACCCTAATTTGCTCAACTGTTCTTTGCTGAAGCTGTTTCAGTGAAATACAAATAAAATGACCACTAGGTGTCACCGTAGAGTGGTGTTTCAAAACGTTTCGAAGCTTCGACACATTTGCTTCGATAGTTTCAGTGTTTCACGAAGCCTCGCTTTGCCCACCACTAGAAATAACCACAGACACATTTTTTTTTCAAACTTCATTTATTAACCAAACATATAGAGTTTACATATACTTACCAGTTTCCTATTCTCAGCACCAAACCTGTTTAACTTTCAAACAAAGCCATTTATACAGATTTTTCCCGCCTTCACTTTGGAGCAGCCATTTTCCATAACATCATCATCATCAGGGTCACAACCCCCTGGTCAGTAAATAAAAATCACAGTTTTGTTGTTTAAATTTGTATTGGTTATTTGTTGTGTTGTATTTTGAGTTTTGTATGCATATTCATTTACTTGCATTAATTTATATTTCTGTTGAATGTCTTTTTATGTATTTTTTTGTCTACATGGTAACCCACTACCAGTGAAATGGTTTAACCCATGGGCGGGGCCAATACAATAAAATGGCCCCAAACATTCACTTGAGGTGGGTAGTTGTAGGAGAAGGTTGTGTTTTTGTCAGTATAGGTAGCAGTTTTTGTTCAGGTCATTTACTTGATTTAGCTGAACAAGCCTGTACATACATTGTAAATATTGAATAGTTTATTTTTCTTTATTGTTATTTTGTCACTTTCACCTGTTTTGCTGGATTTTTGTTTTCACTTTGTGTAAATAAATCACTCTTCACTTTCACCAGCGGCTTCTGTGACACTTTTTTGCCTCCATCTACCCGGTCAATCGTAACATATAGTACCTTTGAAAAGTGTTGAAAGTGGATAAATTCAAAATGTTTTAGAACTAGTGTCACCCATTTTAATACCTCTTTAATTGCATTTGCTTGGTTTTTATATTATGCCACAATGTTGCTGATTTTCAAGGTAAAACAAGACATGGTTAACTAATATTTACCCAATTTGGTTTATTTATTTATTTAGTTAGTTAGTTAGTTATTGTTTGTTTGTTTATATTGTTTATTTCTAAAGTGCTAAATGTGTAAAATATTTTCAAACTGGGCAATGGAGGGTTTAATTTTAGACTAAAACAATATTGATGGATCTTTTTCTAATATTAAAATAAAACTCATGTGTCATCCTTAACTGGACTACATACTAATGTGTATACTCTGGTCCCAGCAGTTTTAAAACTGAAATACTAATAGAAATTTCCCAGTGGAAGCAGGTTAGCAGTGTGTGCAACACTTAGTATTTTGGATTAAGAATATTATAAGACAGTGATCACACTTACAGTTTGGTTCCCTTTGATTTAAAAAAAAAAAGAAAATTTAATTTACTCTTAATTAGTTAAGATAAGACCACATGTAAATGAACATTTACACAATCACACAAAAATTTAGCTTGAAACAAACCAAAATAAGATAAGTGTGAATAAACACTAAGGGTGCTTTCACACCTGTAGATCAATTGTTTTGCTCCAAAACAAGGATAAAAATTGTTACTATGCTTATTTTTGTTTTTGATATGGTTCGCTTTCACACACCAAAATTTAAAAACAGACCCAAATAATTCAAACAAATCACATGCGAGTAAACTCTCCTCACATTGGTCAAGAGTTTCAGGGACACTCTGGGGGAATCTTCAGACATCGTCACCAAATATAAATCATACTGTCCATAGCCTCAAAAATCCATATATTGAATTATCAAGCAATGTTGATCTTTTTTTTTAAGGTGTCAGTGCAGGATTGAACAAAACAATAGGCCTAATACAAAATATAATAAAATTAAAATATGGAAAAATTATCAGATGGTAATTTCGGTCAATTTTCCTAACGGATAAACAGCTCTCGGTATTAGTTCAGCATGCTTTCACTTTCGTATTTTTGTATTCATATTCGAAATGTACATTTACCGGTAGGAATGGCACCCCGCTCATAATTCTCTCTTCGTATAGCTGTATATATGGCTATTACATAACCAGAATACACTGTGATATAGCCTAGTTTGTTGAATTGTTTTGCTTTCTCACTACAATCGATCCGCTCCAGAGTTCGTTTCAATCGAGATTGTTTTGGCATGGATCTGAGTGTGATTGTGGGCCAAATGAACCATGCTAACTCTACAAATGAGACATTTGTATGTGTGAAAGTACCCTAAATTAACAATAAACAAAAAGTCTCAAACAAAAAGTACCTCAGCATTTTATTTAATATTTTATGAATATAGCTTATGAATATTAACATTGTATAGCATTAGCAAGACTTTAAAGATATTGTATGTTTCATGTTAAAAAAAGATGACATGAAGGTGAGTAAATAACAGAATTTTCATTTTAAAGTGAAATTATTCTTTTACTCCAATAGAGAATCAAAAGGAAAGAACTCTACACTGTAAAAAATAAAGGTTTCCTATTGTCATCAGTAGTTCTATAAGCACCTTTAACATCCACACAACCTTTTCATTAAAATAAAGAAAACTGTTCAATTAAGGTTTCTTTCGGTAGTCAAGAATAGTTTTTTAATGGCATTGCTGTGCAAACTACTTTCATATTTAAAAGTGTACATATCTTTTAAAAAGTGTAAATCATGGTAACCTGTTTCTGATATTAAACTTTCCTTTCCCCCACATATCTTCCTTCCCAGAACACCCAGCCATATTCCACTTTTTAGCTCTGAGGGCCACTCAATCTTCAGAAGCTCAGCGGCGTCCTTCTCCTCATCAAGGTTGGCATTTCTCATTCTTTAAAAACATCTTGAGCCATATGATTAGGCTTGCACATTTTAATCACTGCTCATCAACATCATTACACTCCCAAACATAATTATTGCTGAGTCAGTGTTTGTGTTTGCTAGCGTGTTTATATGCTGCCGATGATTAAAAAGCCACAAATATATTCCTCCTCCAATGTCTATTCTCCCATCAGCGTAATTTATAGGCGCGCACACGCACGAACATAATGAAAAATGTGAACGCGGCAGTCGGTGCAGTAATTACCAAATACAAACCGTTGAAGTAACAGATGCACGAATGAAGCGCCTTTGTCGTGTGCAGTCACACATTCCAAAACATACTGTGCCATTGTACTAATGCAGCATAATTGCGTGCATGCAAACACGCAGTTACACACACCAAGGGACAGACTCAAATTAATGAGCGTGCAAACACACACACACACAAAGCGAAAAGGGCTCAAGTGTGACCATGTAGTCAGTAATAAGTGCATAATGCAGAAATCAGTACTTTGCCTCATCGTTTGCTTCCATTGTCTCTCATTTTGTAAGCTCCTGGGCATGGTGAGGATTTGATTACCATGTTTGTTTATGGGGTTTTTTCCACATTATCCCATTATCTTTGAGGTGTGCATGAGAAAATTTGGACTTCTTGTGTAACTTCCTAGCCTGGAGTGTCTTATCTGCCTCACTGGAGCATTGGTATCTGGTTTTCTTTGACCATCTTGCTGGTTCGGTCACCCTTCATCCCCCATCCTGACCCTATACATTCCCTTCGAGCAAATCTGGCCATGTTTGTTTAGGATCTGAACAAACAAAAAGCAATGCTAAAACCCATCACTTGCAGTTTTTCCTTTTTTTTTTGGCTCTGAAAACTTGCTGACACACACAAGCTTGTTTACCCACAAACGCTGGTGTGGCGTCCATTCTCGATTTTTTTTTTCTTCTTCCTTTTTTCAAATTGGCATGTAAGTAAGGAAAAGCCGAAGCGTGTGCCTGACACCCTTTTTTCTCTTTTTTTCTTTGTTTCTTACAGAGAGGGATCCCTCCTTGCCTGTAGCTCCAGACAAGGCAGGCCTCTTTTGAGGAAGGCACACAGTGAAAGAGGCTGAGAGACACCCTCACCCTGCATAGACCTACTTTTACCCTTTCCTAATGGCTATACTGTACTGTTCCGCTCCTTAATATTTCCAAAGTCAATGCGTAAACGAGGTTTACATCTTTCCCCAGTTTATGTGACTTTCATCTGCCTCATTTGAGAGGAGATGTACTATACACATGTGAAGCGTTCACTCCAGGCTAGGTAAAGAGCCTCAGTGTTGGCCACTAAATACCTGCTCATCTCAAATGTCAGGGGCCAGCTCAATTTTGGCAGATAAGCATCATGGTCTCATTGGTATTCATAGGTTTTTGTTCACATTTTTGGATACATGCTGAAGTGTTCATTGTGGAGATGCTGACAGCATCTAGAAAGTGTTTACCTATGCAGAAATTTGTAAAGATTAAATTATTTTTTGTTTATAAATCTGCAGTTAATTTCGTTTAGCTAAATTTGCAATTATAGATCATTTTGAACCTATTTCAGCAATCTAAAGATGTCATTTGTGACCCTGGACTAAAAAAAATCACTAAGTGTCAATGTTTTTGAATTGAGATTTATACATTACATTAAAGTTGCAAACAGACATTTTCTATTGCTGTATGGTTTAAGATAGGACAATATTTGGGATAAAACTATTTGAAAATCCAAAACCTCAGGGTTATATAGACAGATGCCCCCTTTTCTTTTTTAAATATTTCCCAAATTATGTTTAAAAGAGCAAGGACATTTTCACAGTATGTCTGATAATATTTTTTTCTTCTGGAGAAAGTCTTATTTTTTTTTATTTCAGCAAGAATACAAGCAGTTTTTAAATTTTTTATGAACCATTTTAAGGTCAAAATTATTAGCCTACTTAAGCAATTGTTTGACTGTCTACAGAACAAACCATTATTATACAGTACTTGCCTAATTACCCTAACCTGCGTAGTTAACCCAATTAACCTAGTTAAGCCTTTAAATGTCAACTTAAGCTGTACAAAAATGTCTGAAAAAATATCTAGTCAAATATTATTTACTGTCATCATGGCATAGATAAAATAAATCTTTAAAATAAATGTTTGGTAATGTGTTGAAAGATTCTTCTCTCCGTTAAACAGAAATTGGGGAAAAATAAGCAGGAGGCCTAATAACTCAGGGGTGCTAATAATTCTGACTTCAACTGTATATACAGCATGAGTTGTTTGATACAAAATTGTTTGATATTTTACAGTATTAATTTTACAGCAGGGACATGATCTTATTTAATTCCTTAATGATTTTGGCATTAATAGGAAAAAAATCTGCAATTTGCAACATAAGACATGGTTATGTGGTCCAGAGTCACATTTTTGTCAAAGTGTGATTTTTTTTTTTTTTTTTTTTTTTTTTTTTTGCAGTTAAAGTAATTATACACTATACAAGAACAAATATTATGCTCATATAATGCTTAAGTTCAATAAACACAATTGTGACAAAGGAGTTTGCTCAAAAAATGCTCAAGACAGCACTATATACTATTTGCACACCCATTTGAAAACTACAGTGAAGTTAGACATTGCTGCATTTACAGTTTTTCTCAGTGGCTTTGGTGCATTTCTCACAACACTATTTACATTTGCACAACAGTTAATGCATTTCTCAAAACAGTTAGTACAAACTGCAAAACCTAGTTGATAGCCTGCAAAAGCATGTCACATGCTTAAAATGTATAGTTCATTCCTCAAAACCAAGTATTCGCGTCAATGAAAGTGTCAGTGTCATCAAGATGAAAAGTCCTGACACCATTGTTTAGGAACAAGATAGTCAAATGGCTTTGTCCTGTTTTCATTATGACAATTTACTCTGTAAAATTTTTCCAATGCAAAAAAGTCAGATTTTGGTGACAATTCCTAAAAATGCTCAAGACAACACTATACACTTTTGCACAGCCATTTGAAAACTTAAAGTTAAACATCACTGCATTTAGTTATCTGAGTACAAGACACTGAATATGTATGTTTGACATTTTGACTGCATTTGTTCTTTACAATTCTAATTTATTCACAGCATTGTGCAAAAGAATAAATACACCCTTATTCACAACAAACATAAAACTCCCTTTGGGTAGAGCTGTGCACAACTGTAGACAATATTGCAGTACATATTGGAACTGAACCTACAACACACACAGCTCCGTAAATCATTCATGAAATTGTTCAATTAGAAGACATTTTCAAAGAAAAAGAAAAACATAAAAAAAATGTATTAGCTTGACAGATTTTGACACAGTTCAACATTTTTGTATGTAATGACTCAAGTAATGAAATGAGGACTATTATTTTTATATGGAATGACTATTCAGCATTCACATCATTTTGATTGACATGGCATAAGCGAATGATAAGTGAAGTTTATTTATAAACAAATTTCGAGAGGATCTCGTGCTTATGATTGTTCACAGCTGTTCCAACTTTAGCTAATGACTGATTATCCTATCAGATGATTCTTGACTCAATATAAATAACCAGACTTTTCTCATCTCAATATCTTTCGCCTGACACTTAGCTACAACAAGCAAGAGGGGAAGTCATCGAGATCTACCTGAGCTCAAACTCCCCTCTCACCTTGCAACAGGAGGGAGCCCAGGGCTCGAGGATCTTATAAGCTCAGGGCTCTCTCCCGGGACAGCACGCCAAACTAGCTTTACTATCAATCATCAGCTAAGTGTGAACTCTTGAATGTTATGAAACAGCAGAGAGCAATTGATGCATGTCCAAAAGCATTTAAAATTTGTTGGAAGGAACGAAAATCTGCTACTATGATGTGTACAAATGACTAATTGTTTTGAGAAATGCATTAACTGTTGTGCAAATGTAAATAGTGTTGTGAGAAATGCACCAAAGACACTGAAAAAAACTGTAGTGAGGTATCTGAGTAGAAGAGGCTGAACATGCATGTTTCACATTTTGACTACGTTTGCTCTTTGCAATTCTAATTTATTCACAGCATTGTGCAAAAGAACAAATACACAATTATTTACAAAAATTACACCCCTATTTGTAACAAATTTAAAAATTGTTACAAAATTTGCTTGACAGATTTTGACATAGTTCAACATTTTTGTATGTAATGACTCAAGTAATGAAATGAGGACTATTATTTTTATATGGAATGACTATTCGGCATTCACAAGTTTAGTTCATTTTGACTGACATGACATAAGCAAATGATAATGTCATAAACAGCAGAGAGTTGTATGAAAGCAATTGATGCATGTCCAAAAGCATTTGCAATTTGTTGGACAGAATAAGAAACTGCTACTATGATGTGCACAAATGACTAATTGTTTTGAGAAATGCATTAACTGCTGTGCAAATGTTAATAGTGTTGTGAGAAATGCACCAAAATCACTGAGAAAAACTGTAATGCGTACAAAAAAAATTATAATAATGCATACAAAAATGTACATGTCTGAGAAGTACACTTTAAAGGGGCTATAGAATTCAGAAAACCCTGAAATCTACCCACACTGTTAAATTTACAAGCAAATAACATCACAAGTTCTTGAAATGAAAATCAAGCTACACACTCTAATAAATTAAGGTATACTTTTCTTGTCTAACAGGTCCGCATGTGTTCCTTTTGCCGTGTTTTCACTGAGTGGTACAGGTCACTTTATCAGGCTTGTGTCTCCACTGCCCGATTGTACCATTTTAGTAGGTGTGGTGTATGACAGGTTGTTTCGGTCAAGGTCATTCTCGTACAAAGAAAAGTAAAAGCAAAAGTAATACTATACAGGTCATTCACAAATGGCATGAGAAGCAGTTCTCAAAAACTGATGCTTTATATACAGTGGGGGAAATAAGTGTTGGACAGGTCACTATTGTTCTCAGAAAACATATTTTTTATCACAAACATATCACAAGTTGCTGTT